TGCCAGTGTAAGCTTTAGGGGGCTACAATGTGTTCTGCCTTCAAAGTGATCTTTGGGTAAACAAGAGTCCCAAGTGGTGTCTCCCAGATAGCTACTCAGCAAGACACAGGATGAATCAATTTATTCATTCATTATTGATACCCCCATATGTCAGAGCAGAATCTGAGCTAGCAGGGACCATCGTGTGCAGACAATTGCTTTGGCTTGATATGTAGAGCTGTGTATTCATAGGACCTCACTTAAAAGTCTCTGCCCTTTATTGTTATGCTCCAGTTTGCTTGTGAAGTCTTCAAATGAATATATGCCATTTTAAAGATATTAAACAAACCTGTTGACTGTGCTCAAGGTCCACAAGGGATCTACTCTGCCCCCAAAGAACAAAATGTCACATTTACATTTGTGGAATACAGAGGATTGGGTTGCCTCCCATTATGGTGCTCTCCCCTGAACTTAGCAGGAGGCGATGGTTTTGGAAAGCAATTTGCAAATGGATGGTACAACAGACATGCACTTTGTATTGGGCGGGGAGTGAGTAGAAAAACACATGCTAGAAACAAATTTTAATCATCATAAATCAGGCTTCCGTTTGCTCAACTGTAATAATACAATCCGCAGCTCATTATAAAGCTTCATGCCTCCTTCAGAACATGATCGTTCCTGCAGGACGCGCAGCATGGGTTGTTGGATCTGATGTGCAACCAATTATATCCTGTGTCAGCTCTGCTTATATACCACTGGGAAGGGCTACAGACAGAGCCATTTTCAACAAGTGGAATGCCCTCACACTGAGATGTCACTGAGCCACCAAAATGGTGAGTTCTAGGTTCAGTGAGAGGCCCCATCTCAAAAAATAAGATAGGTGGGCCGGATAGATGGTTCAGCAGTTAAGAGCACTGGCTGCTCTTCCAGAGGACCCAGTTTGGTTCTCAGCACCCACATCATAGCTCATAACTATCTGTAAGTTCAGTTCTAGTAGCTCTAACATTGGCTTCTGGCCTTCACAGGCACCAGGCATACTTGTGATACACAGATATAAACGCAGGCAAAACATTAGTATATATAAAATAAGGTAGAGAAGTGACTGAGGTAGACATCCAACAGCAACCTCAGCCTCCACATGCACCCGTGTACACCACACAATATACAATATATACCTCTGTGGCCAGTTTAGTTCTCAAGGTCATTTGTAGACTAAGAGGCACTTTTGACTAGAACAAGCAGAAACTAATGGGATCTGGGATGGCTATGCACCCGACAAGCAAAGGTTGGGGGGACTTGTAAGGAAGATACTTCATGTCATATGATTCCTGCAGTAGCCCCAGTGTCAACTTGGACATCAGACTGTCAGAGCAAAGTCATGGCATTTGCTCTCAGTTGGAGCCTCCCAACATGGAGCAGTGCATGCCAGCTTCCCATCACTTTCTCTAGAGACGACATGCTGATGTGTGGATCAGGAAAATAGCTGCCTAGCTTCCTTTGAAGAACCTCAAAGGCTGCCTTTGCCAAACATGGGAACTTCATAAACATACACAGTTATCTAATGGGTGATGATGGGATGAGCTAGGAGGCCTCTCTGGTTTAAGGTCAGGTCTGTTCCACTTTGCTGGCTCTACTCAGCAATATGAACAGCCATGTCAATCAGTGCAGAGATGTTTTCCCAGAGCTATAACACAGGGTGGCCTGTCTTCTGATGGAGGGCATGCATGTTTCTTTTGTTCCACTCCTGTATTTTCTTGCTGACTCTAGCCTATGGTTCTCTCAGCCTCATCAGAAGGTTCACCATAAGGCCAGGATGTTTACGAAGGATGATGATGCCAGTGCTGAGGAGGAATCAGCCATAAGGCCAGGATGTTTATGGAGGATGATAATGCCAACGCTGAAGAGGAGTCAGCCATAAGGACAGGATGTTTATGGAGGATGATGACGCCAGCACTGAGGAGGACTTGGCAGTTCCTGGGTTAGGTAACCACCCATTAGCCTGAAAACCTCTAGGGCAGAATGCTTGCACACAAGATAGAAAACATCTTTTGAAACTGTGCCCATGACCAATGCACAATTACCAAACTTTAGCCCACTGCAGAAAATCAATAAAACCACTAAATCCTTTGACTGGTAAATAACTCACTGCTCCCAATACCCTGCAGCTTCAGCTGAGGTCCCAGTAAAGCTTTGCCTGCTTTGTTTATGGCATGTGACTTAGGATCATCCACATACATACCCCATAAAAATATTTTAATGTATGTGTATGGGTATCTTGCCTTCATATATGTCTATGTGTGTGCCTGGTGCCTATGGAAGTAAGAAGAGGGTATCAGACACCCTGTAACTGGAATTACAGATGGTTGTGAGCTGTGATGTGGATGCTGTTGGGAACTGAGCCATCTTTCCAGCCCCAGATCAGGCTCATTTCTATTGTATCTGATTTATAAGATTCTACCATCCAGTAACAAACAGGAAAATAGAATGGAACACACTCTGTGTACTCATGTTCCATGGATCCATGTGTCTGAGAGACCCTGGGAATCGCCAAGATCTCTCCCAGAATCCACAACATCAAGACTTTTAAAATTATAACATGGTCTATTTCTTCTTTTTGCCCTTATGATCTCATGAGTGTAGGTGGAGATTCCTAGGAGCTACGTGGATGTGATAACAGCCTCACTCCAGCAGCTGAGTGGGTCTTAGAAACTGCCAAGTTCCTACCTCTAGATGATAGTTATTTTGGAGGGGCATTCCTGAATAATTCTCAAATGTTTAAAGAGGTCCTGAGGACAACAGAAACCCACAGGCCTAGAGTCTGCAGCAGAGGAGGACAGAGGCAAGACCAGAAGGGCTGGGCTCTCATTTAGTTATGGCACAGCTGACTCAGAAGTGAATGTTGTTGACATCATGCATTGAGCAGGCCCAGCCACCACCACACCACATGGGGGTGTCAACCCTCTCCTAGAGAAAGTCCTAACTGTAGCTCCCCTCCCCTCACCCCTTACAGGCAAGTCAGAGGGACCCTGAAACACATTGCTAGGAGACACTGTGCCTCTCCCCTAGTTATCATCTTCCCTGCCTATACTTTTCCTGTCATCAGCTGAGTGGTTAAGGCCAACTTCCCACCCCCAGGAAAGTCCCTTTGCTGCTATCTCTGAAAAACTCTATATGAATTGTGAGAAGGCACACAATGAAACTGACATTGTAGACCAGTGGTCCCTTCTCAATGGAATATGGGATTAGACCCGCTTTTGAGACTAGGAAATGGAGGCGGAGTATGAGTTACTTACTTGGGTTTAAATAAGTAATCAGGTATCTCTGCTACCCAAATCTGTATGTTGAATCTTAGGTTCACTATGCCAAGATGCCAGATTGAATTCTGCATCAAAATAATTTGGGGACTTTAAATGATTTCACTTTCATCATCTCTACTCCTGAAGATTCTAATTTTGTGGATGTGGGTGTGACTCTGGAAGCTTCAGAACCTGTCAGAGAACCCACTTGTGCTTAGCCTCAGTTACAAATGCCGCTGGGGAGGGGGGGGGCTGGCCACACCAACACACCTTGCTGGCTCTCTTTGGGGTCATGTTTTTTTTTTTTTTTGAAGAAGTAAGACTTTTATAATCATGTGAGAATTGTTCTCTTTATGAGGACAAGCAGACACCAAGTGACACATGGGTGTGTCACCAATGACTCCATATCCAGTAGTCACCTATGAATGTTTGTAGATTTTGGTTTGCCTACAGATTTCTGACAGCCCTTTGAGCAAACTTCCGGCACTTGGTAAATACTTTGAGAACTGAATTAAATGTAGTAAAGTGGGTATAGGATTCTACAGCCTTGTGTACGGGTGGAAGAGGGGCATGAGCCCCACATGGCCACTGGAACTCAGTTTGACAATCTGATGCTAGGGGCCTGAAAGAGTCCAGAAGCTGGCATTGGCTCAGACTGAGGCTTGGCTGGAACAGGTCATCATGACTCCTTGGTATCAGGGGGTTGTGTCCTAACTTTGGGGTCTCTATCTCAGCATGCATGAGGACTCAATTTCCCATGCCACACAGAATGGACCTCAAGACAATATGGCAGTTTTGAGGGCCCAGCAAAATTTGAGGCTGGTGTAGGAGAGGATCTGAGGGGACCATAAGAGGGTGCGCATGTCCCCTCCTACATTGTGAGACGATGTGGTGGGAAATTCTATTGCCTTACAGGAAACATAAGCCAACAAGGACTCAAGCCAAGGACAGGGCAGATGTGGAATCTATCCAATGCCTGATGTCTATGCGGACTTCCACATAGATCCTACATTGGTTACTTCTCCCAGTGTGGCAACAAAATACCTGACAGAAACAACAGAAACAAAGGAGAGTTCTTTTTAGCCCATATTTGGGGAGGGGCATCCCACCACAGGGCAGCAGGCACTTGAGGCAGCTGGCCACACTGCCCTCACAAGCAGGAAGGCAGAGAGGGACCCTGGTACTCAGCTTCTGGGACACTCTTCTCCCACAAGGACCTAGGTCCTTCCCTAGGCTCAAACACTGGCCATTGGTGAGCTATCTGTGAATCACAGTTTCGGCTGAAGCAAAGGCTGGAGAAGCAGGGCCTGTTATGTTAGAGTGAAATGTCTCCCACGGGCTCGTCCTTTGAGCCCTTATTCAAGTTGGTGGTGCTATTTTGGGAGTCATCGAACTTTCAGGAGGTAGGGGCCTAGGGAAGGACATAGGTCCTTGGGGAGGAGTGTCCTGGAAGTTGATAATCTAGGCAGCCCCAGATTCTGGTTTTGTTTTCTCTACTGCCTGGTCAGACATGATTAGCACCATCTCAGCCACACACAGGCTGATACAGGCTATTCACTCTACTCTTTCCTGCTGTGACTGACAAGAGCCACACTTAAATCCCTTCTCCTTTATGTTGTTCCCGTCAGACATTCCAGTTACACCCATGAAACATAACTAACACAGGACCCCTTGGTACCTGTTGGTGACACAGAAGGATCAAGTGCATGCTCACTTACCAGCCATCTTCAACTTCAACTCTGTGGGAAGTCCCCTCGGTCCATGCAGGTAAGGTGATAACCCCAGTGAAGAAGGGCAGATCAAGCGTGGGCAAAGTGGTGCCTGGCAATGACAATGGCTTGCCCACCATCTGTGCCCTGCACTCCTGGTACCGCTGTAGCCTTGCCCTGGCAGAGTGTTTCCTGTATGGCAGCCCTCACAGCTGGTGGCCTCCCTTGAGCTTCACAACAGTCTGCAGTGTGAGCAGGAAGGATATGGGCAGCTAGCACTGCTATGTGGATTAGGGACTGACATTTAAGAAGTTAAACCAGTCACCGATGCATTCCAAAACTATCAAAGGGTGCAAGAGGCTTAAAACTCACAGTACGCTTGGCCCTTTTTGGGTTTTCTCAACCCTAAAATACTATTTGTTTCCCCTTGGTTGTTGCGGACCAATTTTGCTCCCTGGAACTATTTCCTTCTCTGGGCCCATCTTTTCAGATCCCTTTTTGACACTCAAAGTGCACACAATGGCTCCCATTTTCTCCTCAGTCCCGATCCCTGCAATCGTTTGCCTTTTCTCCAACAGAAGGGCACTTTGCCCCTCTGCTGCTCTTTGACTGAGCCTGGGGTCTATTTTTTCTTATCTGTTATCAGCCTCCCTAACCCTTACTTGGCTGGGTCACCTAATTTCCCTTCTACCTCCAGGTCTTATTAGTCTTGCTCCAGAAACCCACAGCCTTGCTGTCATAACAAAGGAAGTGTGCGCTTGTGAGGACCACTTTGCAAACTGATGCAGCCAGAGAAGGGCACCTTGCTGCGTACTAATGATGCTTTAATCACATGTTCCTGACGTGACTGCCTAGGGAGAGTCGAGCAGTTTGTGCTGATCTCAGTGCAGCTGAGGAAGACTGGGCCAAAGGGAAGCATAAGACAAGATGGAGGTCATGAACCATATGGTATCACCAAGGAAATCATAATGATGTTTGATATTAAAACCAGAAAAATTAACCACTTTCAAGAAGCCAAAGGAGCCTGCTTGAATACAGATCTGTGTACAGCCGACTGCATGCTTCTCTTTGTAGGCTGATAGTAGATCTTTCTGGTAAGGTCTTGCCTGATCATGATGTAGGCTCCTGGAGGGCTGGCTCACCCTCTCATGGCATCCTTTGTGGATGTCACAAAGGATGTGCGTGCTTACCTTCAAATATAGATGACTGATCTCTACTGTGACACATGCCCCCCACGGCACAGCATGTTCAGGCTGCTTTTGTTTGGGGTGCTCTGTAACCTATATTCTTGGCTCTGCCTGGGAATGGTGGCCAGGGCCTGCCTCAGCCCTGCTACCAGAAAAGACAACACACTGGGGCAGGACTTTTAAGTCTGTCTTGAGAAGATGTTATTTTGAATAAGATCCCATTTTGCTCAAGGAATACCCTGACCTTCCCCCCACAAAATAGACTTAGCTGTAAATGCCTTTTAGTTACTGGACCCTGTCTAGAAATTTATGAGCTTTTTAGAAAATATGTAAACACACACACACACACACACACACACACACACACACAGATGAAAACAATCAACATATCTAATGAAAGACTAAACAAAACTTGTAATTTATCACATGAAGGGCAATTTTGGAAATTACAACCAAAAGCTATGAAAGGCCATAAGAGGCTGAACCTTGTCCAGGGTCCCCCTCCCTCTACTTAGAGCAGAGCCTACCCAACTTCTTTGTGTGACCCAGCCTAACACAGACTTTTTCCTTGTTCACTGGCTAATTTACAACAGTCATCAAGTTTAGCGTGAAGAGGCTAAGACACCCCCGTAGCAGTTCTCGCTGAGGACATCATAAGGAAAAGCAGGAATGAGCTGTTTAGCTAGGTTCTGGGTCAGAGTCCAGGGTCCTGGGACCAGGACAAGGTAATCTGCAGCTCCGAAGTCAATAGTGATTCCAACTGCCCGGGTAAATTGGGAGATGATATCGGCAGGAAGAAAATGACATACAAACAATTCCTTTGCAAGGAGCTGTCTACAGCCAAACAGCCCTGTTCTGCCCCGTCATTGCACCTCCAACAGGCTCTGGGAGTCAAACTCAGGCCCACCCTAGTTTCCAGCCATTATGGCTGTGAGAGTACAGTGGATACTTTGCATTTAAATCCAAATGCTACAATGGACTTCAGCTCAGAGCAGTTCAAGGTGAAGGAGAAGGCCAGCCCACTCTGCAGAGCTTACCCTGCTTTGTCCTTCACAGGCCTCCCACTTGAAGCAGAATCTAATGACCTTGACCTCTGCTCCATCCCATCAGTGCAATGCACACAATTTGAAGGGGGTGCCTGTGGCCCCCACATGTGACTGCACTCATGGCCCAGCACCACTGATGGCTGCTCACTGGCAGGGCAGCAGGGCATACGACCTGACACTATGGGCCTTTTCTTCCTTCTCCACTAGCAGCCAGTGGGCGGGCTTGCTCTGCCAGTTGCCATGGCAACGGGAAGATGGCTCTGTGGTACCCAGAACAGATGTCACATGGCCGCTATGCTTGTGTTGGGGGTGGGGAGCATGGTGGGGGCAACAGAGGAGGGGCTGAGCCTTTGGAGTTAAATGGTCCCACCAGAGGGAGTAAGTCACATTTGGAAGGGAATGCGGAGCAGTACCATCTATTTTCTTTCTTGTCCCCGTCCTTTAAGCTCTAAACATACATGCACAAACACAAATGGCCTTTTATCTCTGCTCCTGAGGTGCTGGAGGCTCACAGCTTTCTAGGCGGACATGAAAGCTGTTATCTCTCCAAGCCTCAAAAGAACATGGCCTCAGTGGCCCAACCACGAGCAGGCATGCTCTGCTGTCTTTTAGGGACTGGCCAGGAGGCTGCATTTGGGTGAGTCCAAGGAACCCAGAATCATGCAGAGTGGAGACCAATCAAGGGGAAATTGAAAGGCAAATACACTGGGCTCTCTAGGCAACGACAAACCCGACCCCAGGCTTCATAAGCTTGTCACTGAAATGAAAGAACCCCTATGTCCCCTTCCTCCTCCCCGTGGGGTCTCTGATCATATCATGCCAAAGGACATTTTATACAGACTAAACTGGGGCAATGTTTATAAATCTACCTGTCTGAACCCAAAGGCTCTTTGTCCCTAAAATAGAACTCTCTTACCTGAACTGCTGCATTAAAAAAAAAAAAAAAAAAAAGTTCTCTTTCCACTTCTCCTACAGAGAATTGGTACATATTGTGCATTAACATGATAAACCCATTATATATATATATATATATATGTGTGTGTGTGTGTGTGTGTGTGTGTGTGTGTAAAATGCCAGGCAACAGTCACCTGCTTTCCTCTCTGCTTCTAGCCCAATGCTTAGATTCCAACCTCAGACCAGGGGAACTTGGAGACAAGGCATAGGCGCTCACCTAATCTGATGCATGACAGTCATTGCTTGTCTGTAGGAGGATGGGGAAATGCTACACATTGTTATTTTGCACTGGGGTTTAATTCACAGGACCAGCATGCTCAGAGTGCCTGCTTTGTGCCAAGGAATGCCACAGGGAGGAGGGGGAGGCAAGCAAAGCCAAGAAGATCTCGTTTATCACCAAGAGGCAGAAAACAGCACAGAAACTCTTATAATGGGTCTGATGAAGTGAGTGTTGCAAGAAAAGCATTACGGGAGTATGGAAGAGGCAGGCTCTGAGAGAGGTGTCCTGGGGTGTGAAGAGATGAGCAGGAAGAATCTGGCATTGACAGAGCACCTGTCATGTGACAGACATGTTCCATACACAGCACACTGGGTGGATCATAGAACCTCCTAAGAGGCAGCTACTGCTATCCCATTAAAAAAAAAATATCAGGAAACCCAAGCTTAGAGCAGCTAACTGTCCAAGGTCATTCATCAAGGACATCGATAGCCATGCTGCCCTGTACACACTGACAAGAGATGTGGCCAGCACAGAACGCAAGAGCATGTCTTCGCCAAATCTTCAGATAAGCAACAAGGTTCGAAAGATGGGTTTCAAACAGTCCCTGAAGCTTTCCTAACATACCTTAAACACACAGTAACTAAAATAAAAAGTACTCTTAAACACATAGTAATTAAAATAAAAAGTATTGTTCATCTGGACGGACCCTAGTGTCTTCTCATATATCACAATGGGTGCTACTGGACTTTCCCATGCCCTTGAAAGATGAGTAGGCGTGGTTCCATTAACAATTTTCATTCATCCATTTAGATTTCGCCTTGTGTTGGTAGGATTGTTTTGTGTCTATACCATCATTAAAAGTGAAACATCTTCCCAGCCCTGCCAAGACTGCTGTGTTTTATCAACAATATGGCCTGCACCTGAAACCCTTGGGTGTTTGTGACTCGCTGAATAAAAAGCAGTGATCAAGAGTGAAAGACTGACTGCCTGATGGTGCCCAGGTCGGAGCAGCTCTAGGAAGCTTCCCCTGCAAGCCCAACGTCTAGCTTCCTTGATTCTGCAGTGAAGATCTACAACCACCAGGGGGCAGTAACACAAACCAGATCTGTTTCCTTCTGGCCTGAATGTGGATGTGCACAGTTTAATACGTAAAGCCCATTATTACTAGCTTTTCCTCCCACCCCCACCCCCTATTAATGAACAAATGCCCAAGGGTAATGGCGAGATTTCTAAATACAGTGCAAGAAAGGGCAATCTGTACTCATACACAGGGAGTCTAACATGCAGTAATAAGTGGAAATGAAAACAATCACCAAGATGCAAGTGAGCCATTAGGCTAAAGAGCTAGCCCTCTGTCTGGCTACAAACACAGAAATACAGATGCCTGGCTCACAGAAATGGGCATTTAAAAATATTTATTTCACAAGTTTCTATTTAGAATTCATAATACTATCCATAATTACAACCTCAAAGCTCCAAGAGGGGTCTAGCAGGAATTCCGGTTCTAGTGCTGAACACAGACACAGGATGATTCTCTTAGCCTCAGGTAAATGCATGAATTATTCACGACCTTCCACAGGCACTTTAAATCATAACTTCATGCTGTAAACAATAGCACAAGTTAAAAAAATATTTTAAGATGAAGAGCGTCTAAATCTCCAAACCGTAAAAACATCTACTGGCACCCACATCCACACAGGCTCTCCTGATGGTTGTGGTGGCTTTCCATAGGAACCCTTGGTGTGTTTGTAGGTTTTAAACACAGCAGCAGTGAGAACACAATTACATGGAACCTACTCATTTCCCTGGGAACAAAGAATATGAAATGGTTCCACTATTTTTGTGACAAAGGGGAGATTTCCTCTTTATTTTCAAAGTTGTTTGGAATTTGAGACCTGCAGAAAAGATGACTCAGCCACAGCTAGCAACCTCATCTCGGGTCACCCCATTACATCCTAATATTCATAAACTGATAGACAGATTACGCAGTTATTACCATACAACATGGCTGAAACACATATGGAATTCTGAGTCAAGTGACCATAGCTCTAAACTTTCCATTGGAGTAATTCTGGGACTGAGAATGCACCCCTCTGGCCTTCGGTTTCCTAGCAACAGAGGTAGGAGAACAGGTCTTGCCCTATGCCCTTGTGTGGTGTGAAGGTCATTCAGCATAATGAGAGGGAAAATGCTAAGAACCCTTGAGATTTATAAAGACTTTCCGTGTGTATCTTCTCCCCACTTCACACAAGAAGCTGAAGCTGCAGAGACTAATCCAAGGTCATGGTGGGTGAAGGCAGAGCCAGGGCCCCAGCTGGCTGCTCTCATCCAAGGCTATGATTCTTCCCATCCCTCCACGGAGCTGAGAACACACAACACAGCTGTCTCAGTCTGCTCTGGAAAAATACCTCAGACTGGAAAGCACACAGGACAACTGGGGACTTGGGTAAAGGGCAAGGTGTAGCAAGGCAGGTTGCATTCCAAGGCCCCTTCTCCTGCCTTGGAGATGGCTAGATTGTGTTTACACAACTCTGAACGCAGGAGCAAAAAGAGAAGGAGAATAGGTCACTAATCCCACTATGGGGCTCTACCCCACGACCTTATCC